GCTTTCTTTGCCAACCTAAAGGGGATCCTTTTCCTTTGCCACCCAAAGAGAGAGAGAGAGAGACCGCGGATCCGGCTCAGGATCTTCCTGAATTCCTACGGCCTGCGATTGGAGGTGAACGACGACGAGGCGCGGGGAGGGGGGGGGGTAATGTGTTCGTGTTTTGGCCCCGTGCTAGGGGAAGTTCGGGCTGAAACTCCACCATACCGCCGTTTCGATTCACAGCCAGGATGTGTTTCTGGTGGATTTTGTTCTCTCTGCTTCTTGCTTTTTCGGAGGGTTTGGCGTGCGGAAAGAATAAGACGCCTCTTTGTCAGATGGCCACTGAGCAGCAAGCCGTGGTTTGTAGCGTGTCAGCGCTTCCCATGGTCTTGAATGCTTCTTTGATACGCCAGTGACCCAGGGCGCAACCTGGGTCCAGGGAGTCAGTGTTTTCACCATGATTGAAGAGGAAGCGTGCTGTACGAACGGCTGCAAGTGCGGCAAAGCACTTGTGAATGGTTAGAAGTGGATTCCAGGCGAGGTTCGGAAATATGATCAAGCAAGTTTACACATTGATGATTTCAGGGGTTCAGCGCGCTTCTCCTTGGTATATTGGGAGTAGCCGCTGGGACAGGCCAAAGCTTTCAGGTTTGTCTTGGTCCAACCGTCCAAATCTTTTGACCCGTGCTTTCCCATTTTGGGTTCCCATTTCAGAGGTCCCCAAGGTCGGTCGCCTTTTGGTCCTTAACATGAAGCTTTGCAGCTCGGCTTTTCAGCAGATCAATTCTCCGGACGTCGTTTGAGAAATCTGTTTGCATTCTAGGATTCGCTCAACGAAGGCCATAGTACTTAGAATATCACGTTTTCTCGGCACAAGCTGAGTTAGCCTCATAACCCATCATAACCCCTCCCCCCCCACTGTTGCGACGTGTTTAGTGTGTCTTCCTTTCTCTGCAGGTCAACATGGACCCTCCAAAAAAGATACTAATAAACAAAACAAAAGCCGCAAAAACAAATGAAAGAACCACCTCATTCAAAGAGGACTCTCCTTGTGGAGGGGGGTAAGGGGCGGCCTTGTATGAGGGGACTTCGCAGGGAGCCGAGACTCGGAGAGTTCCACCGGGCCCCGAGGTCAGCGCGCTGAAGTCGGTCATGGGCCCACGCCAGGAGTTGACCATTGAGCGCTCAGGGCCCAGGTCCCAAGCCATCGTTCAGGCCTCAGGCAGACTCAGGCGGCCTCAGGCGTCTCACAAGGGGCGGAAATTGGTTTGTTTGTTTGCTGGCTGCCATGTTTTCTTGCTTGTTGCTTGTTTGTTTGTTGCTTGTTTGTTTGTTGGTTTGTTTGTTTGTTTGTTTGTTCGTTGGAGTTGCTTGGTTTGGTTTGGTTTTGTTTGGTCGGCTCTGTCCGTTTCGTTGCCGTTGTCTAACATATTAAATGTTAGCATGATTTAGCATGTGTGTTGGCTCTGTCGACTTGCATGTTTGCTGGTGTTTTTTTGTTTATTTGCATGTCGTTTCCTCTCTTCATGTTATGTTCCGTTCGTGAGGGATTTGCTTTGGGCATGCTGTCCGAGAGTTGCCAAACGTTAAGCAGGGCCATCGCAGCTCGACAGCCAGCCTTCTCCGAGCGCGACTTGTTTTGTGGTGGGAATTTGCGAGTTTCAGTTGGCCACCCGGCGAGTTCGCTTCCGTGGACCACTTACCGTGACAGTCCCTCTGGCTTTGAACTGCCCCCCTGAGCACCCCCCCCCCCAGGATCAGCAACTTCGACACTTCACGCCCGCCACGTGCACAGCAGCCAAGGCGGCCGGAGACACGATCTTCCTGCGCGCCCACACGGGGAACCACATCGCCGCTCGCTTTGCACTGCGAGCCGTGCGTGGCACTGTTTAGCAGGGAATGGTAGTTTTTGACGGGTCCCTTTGAATGAAACACATTGAGAAGTTCTCAACATCACTTCTGGACTTCTGGAGAGATTTCCCATAAAGCCACAATTCAAAGCGCAGTTTTGAGGATGTCACTTTGATGGACCCGGATGTGGCACCTTCATTTGGCCGTTAGGAGGCCAACAGCTCACCGGGACTTGCCCCTGGGGGAATATATTTTCTGGTTCTCTATGAGTATGACTATTGCTTTTATCAAGCCCCCCCTCGAGACTCCTGAGGATGTAGTCGGTGAGACCGTGAAGGCCCGCTTTCCCAGACAGGCGGGGGACATCGCGTGGCGACCTCACAATGAATCCCTCCCTCAGATGCAAGGGTCGATTGGGCGGTGACTGGCGAGGCTGAAACCAGTCCCGGTGCAGGTGCCAGGTTTGGCGAGCAAGCTGGCTACAAACCGCCGCGAGTTATGCGGGCTAAATCGAGCGATTCGGTGTTCGACTTGGCGCCCACCAGCAGGAAGTTGCGGAGAGAAAGAGAGGCTCGCTCTTTTTACCATCTAGGCGCTCGATTTGATTTTGGGCTTTCAAGAGCAAAAGCCTGGCATTCCTAGGGGTCGATCCCCCATTCTGTTCAACCATCGCTCTTTTCAAAAGCCGGATCAGGTTCCCTGGGTTGATGGTTTCCTGAAAAGATTCGGATCCCTGGGTTTAGAATGGAAATGGAAGGTAGCCCTGGAACCTTCGTTTCATTCTACTTGAAGCTTCCCCGCACGGGTCCCCTTCACGCGGAAGCCAGGGGATGGGGTACCATGCCTTCGTGGTGGAGAAGCAGCCCAGATAGCCGGAGCTGAAGCCACCGAAAGCCGGCGTGGTCCCGGACCGTGGATTTGGTCCACGGTGATGTTCCGGATGAAGAAAACGCCCGTGTATTAATATTGGGGAGGGGGGGGTGTTTCCTTGCAGTCACTTGGTCAGAATCCCCACTCAAACCAGAGACAAAAAGCATAGTCGTAAGTAAAATTAACATGGGAGTGTTCCCTTGCAAGAGTGATTGAGCCCCGCAAAAAAAAGGGAAACGGGGTGTATCAATCCTGAGTCAACATGAACTAAGTGGGGTTCCTGGGTTCAAAATCAATCCTTCCTGCGGGAATGGTAGTGGTTTCCCTGATCACAGAGGCGTCCCGCTGTCCCACTTAGGGTATACAGATTAGGACTGTTTAGGCATCAATCCCACGGGTCTTCTTCTTGGTTGGTTTGGTTGAAAAATGGAGGGGCACTGGTTTCTTTGTTTTTTTGCTCCAAAACGTCTATTGGGCCAATCATCTAGGGCCATCTATCCTTCAGAAAGGACACACCTATGATCACTTCCCTTGAACGATCCAGGTTTCAGTTTCACTGGGCTGAGTCGGTGTGTACAGCTGCGGCATCTGCAAAGTCAAAAGATGTGCGACACTCGGAGGCTGACTTGCTCGCCGCGTCGAGGGGCGTTTCGTGCGAGCCGGGTAGAAGGATGTTTTTTAGCGTTGGTGACGTTTGGGGACGTCTTGCGCGATGTTCCCCCCTAACCCGGTCATTGCTGGATGCAGGGCCGGAGGCAGCCGCGTATTGATGATGTGGGGCTGCCGGGCTTTCGGAGGATGCTTAAAAAAAATGGACCTGTTTGGAAGGCAATTCATAAGGAATCCATTCATATGGGGCACCCCTCAACCTATGTGTGGGAGCTCGCAGTGACGCCCCTCCGCGACTTCCCTTCGGGTGCCTTGCGAGAGCGGCTCAGGCGAAGGGGCAGTTAGGGGCAGCCGGCATTTAGCTCTTTCTTCTGGCAATGGTTCGCCACACGATTCCAGAAGACTATGCCATCTCCTTACAGAGAGTGAGTTCAGCAGAATTCGGCCACAAGGAGTTCAGAACGAGCAAGGCATGTAAAGGCCATTTTATGTTGCGACCCTTGCAGGGGTGAAGGGGGACACAATATAAGTAATAGGGCAACCAGCAGCCTCCCAGCAGGGTACAGAAGCTCCAAGCAGTCAGACTGACCCAACAAGGTACAAAACTTGCAATACAATGGCAGACCTGCGAGCAAGTGTTCCCAAAAACAAGCGCCGACACAAGCAAGCACCGCGAAAAACAGCACAAGCAGCAGGAGCAAGCAAGCAGACGAAAGCAGCCAATGGAAGCAAACACCAAGAAACACCAAGGAACACATGAAAAACACCAAGACACACCAAGACACGCCCAGACACGCCCAGACACACCAAGACACTCCAAGGAACATAGACTCAGGGAAGCAACCCCGCAAAGCCACCAACGGCACCGCCGCCTTCGCCGCTCGCGGCGCCGTCACCGCCGCATCGCCGCATGTCGGAGTCCTTCAGCTGGGTCCGCGCGGCAGCGGCGGCGTTGCGCGCCAAAACCCGGGGCCGGCTCACGGAGGTTCGGCCCACCGAAGGGGCGAACAAAAACGGGGAGAACACGGATGGTGCGACCAATGGCTTTTCTTTGCTGTGTGCACCTTTGGGTTTGGGGACGGTTCAAATTGGCTCCTGTTTTCTTGAGGGTTTGCAAGCCATTTCCCTGCTTGGAACCTCCACAAAGTGGGCCGTTTCAATTGCAACTTTTGAAGGGGAAACCCAGTGACCCCTGCCTGGTGTCTCCTGCGACTTTTTGCACAAAGGTTGGCAGATTGCAAAACCTAATCCTAACACATGTGTGTTTTCGGTGTGGGGATGGGCCAAGTGTACCTACAGTTGGATGATGGAAGGCCCAACAGAGTTTGTTGTCCTCTTTACTTGCGGGGAAAAAGGGCTTTGTAAGCTCAATCATCCCAAGCCGACCCCTTTTACACACGGAAAGTAATAAATGCAAAAAAATACGGGGGCCATGGGCCCCAAAATGGCCCATCTCAGGCGAGCGGGCAAACTTCAGGGGTTCATGGTCCGTCCCAATTCCAGCAAGGTGAACATGTTGTGTTTCCTAAGCTAGGGGAGCCAACCGTATGGCTAGTTTCCATTCAGTCCCTCAAAATCGCTCCAAATGAAGTGCCCTCGAACAAAAACACGGCCATTTTTTTGCGGGCTAGTCTCCGCCTCCTTCTCCTATCCGCTGCTTGGATTGGCACTTCGCCAAGTTTGTAACCCCCAGTTGATCCATCCCTCTGCGACATTGGAAGCATGTAGCTGCCGAAAGGTGCAAGTTTTTCACTCTTGGTATTCCAAACTGCCTGGATCGCCAAGTGGCTTTCGCTTGTCCCAGGCCCTCTACCCAAAAAACGGTCACAGTTGCTGGGAAAGAGCGACTCGCAAGTGGCGATCCAGGCAGTCCCCAACGAGGAAGTCAAAAGGCTGTGGGTCAAAATTAGACGTCCAGTCAAAATTAGACCACCAGGAATTGGACCGCAGATTTTGGTCCTTGGTTCCACTACCCAGGGCATTTTGATCCGTACCCTATCTTTGACCAAACCATTTAAGGTCCAATGACTCAGGGATTGGTTGGGAACTGCGGGTTTGAACCCTTGCTTCTTGTAGAGGGTTCATATTTTCACCCAGCCCTAACCACCAAAAAAGGACCAGGCCAGGCCAACCCATTTTGGGCCTTTTGGTCCTTCCACTACCCAGGGCAACCCATTTTGAGCCTTTTGGGTACGTTTTGCCCCACCAGAGCAGGACCGTTCGATCGATCGCTTCGGACCGCGGAGGCGTGGGAAGTGGACCTGGAGGCTGCCATCTGGAAATGCCACGGGCAGAACTTGGCCACCCGGCCGAGCTTCCAGATGCAGTCGACCCGGCCACGCTGGGGGCGAAAAGAAGCCGCCTCTAACAGATGGACCGGCACTGGCGTGCGTTTTAGGTGAGTTTGGTTGAAAATTGATGGGTTCCACTGGTTTAAATATGGTTTGGTTCCATGTGCCAGGGCCATCTAGTTTTCCAAAAGGCCACCTATGATTACTAGGATGTGACACGGTTGGAAGCTAAAAGGACATGGATATGGCCAAATTGTTTTCAGACCCCAACTGGGCACTGAGTAACTTAAGTGACACTTGATACCTAAATGGCAACTCTTCCGAGCTTCTTAAATGGTTCCCGGCTGCCGGAGAAGAGTGGAGCAGGTGGGCGAATTCACAGGGTTTTCGGGACGGTTGGTTCCCGAAAACAGGCGTGTTGAAAACTGCACTTTACCATGGTATATTGTTGATTTACTTGCAGGATTGGTGGCCAAGATGCCAGAATGTCAAGGTGAACAAGAAGCGTGGTAAAGTTAGCATGATTTGTTCACTTTCCCCTTGGCCCGTTGCCCATTCTCCCAATGGTTCAAGGACAATTGCTCATGATTGACCGATCTATGTAGGATGACCGAGCTGCCACATGCCCAGCTGCATGTTTGGCAAGCTCCTTTTGTGGTGGCTGTTTTTGGTTGTCGGGGTTGGGTGTTCAGATCAAAGCAGTTCTTCTCCTTGCAAACGTCAGTTCCGAATTGCCCTAGTTCTGTGGATGCAAGAAGGAGGACGGGGGGTGACAAGGCATGAAGAAGCGAATGGGCAGGTGAAAGCCCTCCCAAGACAAAGGGTATATGCAGTCGTTCGACTTGTTTTGCCCCAAGCCAACATAAAGCAAAGCTACTTGCTCCTGCTTTAGACCAACGTGTCAGTTAGGGCAAATAAAATCTACCCATGAGGTTTCAGGCGTCCGTATACATGGGTCTGTCTTAAGACGGGCGACCCCAAAATGCTTTTGGTTTCCAATTGAATGCCACCCAAAAGGCTCTAAAACCAGACCCCCCCCCCCCATTTCTTCACATATTCGGCCTCGCGCCTTTTAGTCCAAAAAGGGGTACCCTCAAAACCGACCCACACCCCATTCGTCCCCTAAGACCCAGCCCCATTCGTCCCCCCTACAAATTATTCGTCGCCGTCGGATGCCGTCGGCCTGGCGCCGCGCGCTCCCTTTAGGCCGACGTGGACCTGGAGGCTGGGGAGGTGGTGCGGGGCCGCGCGGTCTTCGAGAGCGGCAGCTCCCTGCGCCGCGCCGCGGCGTTCGTCCAGGGCGGGGAAGGCGGAGGGCGGGGAAGGCGGTTTGGGGGTCAGCCTCCACGTGCTGAACATACTTCCAGGGGTTGATTCCTTTTCCATTCTTTTCAATCGTTCGTTTTAATAACAAAATCTGTTTCCCCTGGGGTTCTGATGGTTTTCTGGAAAGAAGGATCCTTGGAAAGAATGGGGAAGTGTCCCCTAGAGTATTGCTCTTTAGTTTCCCCTGTTAGGTTTTAAAGTTGGAATGGAGTTCACTGGACATATTTGTGCTCAAATTTTCCGGTGGACTTAAGCAAATGGAAGTCCGGCGGTACTATATGGGTCCACAAAATCCTGCACCACTTGGGACCAATGAAGCCCCATAATTGGAGAAACCACCTACCAACTGGTGAAGGGCTTTGTCAACCAGTACCAAAACTGCTCTAAGCCTCATTTTGCCAAGTCGCAAAGGCAGGCGCTTTGTTCTCTCAGTTCCTTTCCGATATTTTTTTGGGAAGGGCACACTGGCAAGCAACAAGTTTGGAAAGTTTTCTCTGGCGAAGCTACTCGGAGGTTCGGTCAATTTTTCAGCACACATGCACATTTCATTCGGCGCCACGGCCAGGGAAGCTCACTCAATCTATGTTATTTGAGAATGAGTGGCTCGTCTGTTTGCGAGGGTTCCCCTTTTTGGATGCTTTCAAAGAGCACGCATTTGTTGGGGTTCCCTTAAAAAAAGGCACGCCCACATTGTTTATTTTGAGGAGTGTGAGTGTTCAAGTCGATCATTTGCGTCTGGGACAAGGACAAGGGGTTCCACTGATGCAGTCCATTGGACAATGGCGCCATGGCTTCATTGCGATCCATGGCGTTGTCCAAGCACAACATCCCATTATCCAGTGATGCAGTCCGATGCTGGGCTAGGACAACTACCTGAAGCATCAAATCTGGAAACCAGACAGAGGCCATTTGTTCATGAGAGGCCCTCGCATGTTTCCGTGAACACCCATGGCATGTTGTCTTACTTGTCTCGCGTTTGTATATCTGTGCATGGTTCAGGTTGATGCAACACATCAATCAAGACAAATTTGAGGGAATACGAGTGAACACCTCCGTTGTTGGGGGTTGGGAGTTTTGCAGTCAATGACCATGCGTGCGTTGCTTTTAACCTTGCAGGAGGTCGTGTACATTCGCAATGTGAAGGCATGTGGTGGTACTGTGGATGGACAGAATCCGGCACCTGGATAACACGGGAGACAAATATTTGCCGGTGGATTGCAGGGGCATGATCATTCCAGGCCTCTTAGGTGGTGCGAAATGGATTTCGCAGCCATCCACATGGTGTGCTGGCCGCTCATTCGCCGAGGTGGCAGTACCCCAGCGGGGGCCAGGCGCAAAGCCAAGGCTTCAGCTTCGCCGGGCGCTGAGCTCTGCAGATGCACGTGGAACCCTGGAAGCCATCCTCTTTAGAGGCGTCTTCGTTTGAGGGACCCCACTTTTACCATGTCCCATGTGAAGTTGCAAGCTGCGCCAGCCTTTGTAGCATTTTGTAGCCATTGTGGCACTGCCTTTTGGGTTGAAGGGGTGGAAGCCGCACCCTTGTTTGGGAGACCTCAGTGCTACGCTCCGGACAGAATTGAACTTGAGCGCGCAGTGTGTTGGGGGCTGCTGGGGTTGGGCTGACAAAGCTGGCTTTTTGATGCCGAGGTTTGCCGAAAGAGGCCGACGCTTCGAGACGCCCCGCAGAGAAGCCAAGGCGGCCAGCTCGCCCTTTCCTAGCTGCCCGCGCAGCTTCGCGCCGCAGGCCCCGGCAGAAGCCTTGGATTCGACGGAGCCGAGCGCCAAGGCGGCGCCGGCGGCGGCGGCGGCGGCGGCGGCGGCGGCGGCGGCGGCGGCGCCGGTGCCCCAGGCCATCGCGCCGCCCGCGGGCGCCGTGGCGGTGGCGCCGGCGCTGCCGGAGGGCGCCGCGTGCCTGTCGGCGCGGGAGCACCGGTCGTACCTGGACTCGGGGGAGGAGGTGACGCTGCGGAGGGTCCAGTCCTCCAAGGAGAAGATCGTGCCCTCCAAGTCTCCGGAGCCGAAGCCGCCGGCCAAAGCCCCGGCCAAAGCCCCGGCCAAGGCGGAGCCGGAGGTCCTCAAGAAGATCACGGCGAGCACCCCGTCGCCCGCAAAGGCCAAAGCCATCCGGGACGAGTTGGGCGTAAAGCCGGTGAAGGTCACGTTGGCGGAACATTCTCCAGCCGCCACATCAGGACAATGGTGAAAGCAAGCCGGCAGTTGAACTCTTGTTGTCCTGTGGAATGCAGACCCTCATAGTCTGCACAAGTAGTCATATTATGGGAATCCCACTGAAGGGTCGCTGTTGCAGACATAGCTGTTTGTATGACAGCCATCCTTCTTTTCATGGGGGACTCTTGGTATCATTCCAAGCACTCGATACCCTTGGTTGCCCCAGGTGCCAGGTCGGCTCAATCGGAGACTTCCGTACCGCACAGGAGCCAAAGATGCCGAGACGAGGCGGATGCGCTCTGCGTTTGCCCGAAAGTCCCGCCTGTCCCGGACACCTTTCCGGGGTCTGCGAGTAACCCGTGCGGATCCAGTGAGTCGCACGCGCGCAGGTCGACACTGGTGGCCCCAGCGCGCAACACCGAGGCTTTAGGCGCGGCCCGCGGCCCTTTCCGCGCCACTCCACCAGTCAGGGGATGTAAATTCGTGCATGGGCTCCCCTGGAAGGATTGGGAGGGGTGGGGATGTCACTTTGGCCAAAAGGATGTGGGAGGGCTGGGCATCAGTCAGATTTTTTGGTCCCACAGCGAAGGCCTCGCACAAATCGTCCAGATTCCTTCCGCTTGTTCAGACCTGGCCTTGTGCTAACTCAGATTGGACTCGGGGTCGCTCGTTCTCTGAACAACACTCCCATGAAGAAATCCACGGAAAAAAACCAACACAACATCATGTTTTCCTGGGCCCTTATTGGCCACACAGCGCTTCCCACCGTGTGATGCCTTGATTGTGGAGAATCAATGTTGACCTTTGAAATTCATTCACACTCAGTTTGGGGCAGACCTAGAAGCGAAAGATGGACGAGTTGCTTTCTATTTGGCTTCCAAGTGGAACATGGACCGTTCAAATGGCTGGCTTTTTTTGGGCCCAGGGCTGAGTAGCACACCACAACATGTTCAATGATGAAAATCGCAAGGGCTTGTTAACAAGAAAGCATGACCTGGAGGGTTGGCTACAAGAACCTTTAAGTGAACGGTTTTGTCAAACAAACCTGACAAACATCCAACTTAATTATCCCAGAACTGATCGTGCAATTCTTTGAGCCACCACCCGTGTTTTTCTCAACCCCCCCCCAAAACAATGAACATGTTTGTTGTTTTCTCCTTTTTTGGGGGTCTGTTTTAGCTCACCCATGGGCGACCCGGCCGAAGCGAGCCGCGCAAAACCGCTCGAGGCCGGCTGCAGAGCGGCGGCGCCCTTCCTGAAAGGCGAGCGTTGCAGCGCTGGCAGGGCGGCTTCGCTCGAAGTTCCGCAGTTCTCGACAGGGCGGTTGGTTTTTTGGAGTTGGTCATGGGAACCCGGGGTTAATAAACCCCAGGTTGATTAATATGTGGGGTATCTCCTTTCAGTGGGGGTTCTTTTGTAGGTTCCATCCCTCTACTAGTAGGGAGGGTCTATGAATCTGGCATCAACATTGCCTTGTCGGGTTGGTTTACGACCGAGATCTATCTTGGGGTCCAACTCCCTATAACCCCCGCAATGCATAGGACAACGGCTGACAAGAAGGATGGTTGAAACGCTCAGGAATCAACCTTTCGAATTGTGGACGTGGGGCCCGGTGTCTTTTCGAGGGGCTGGTGCTCCGAAACCCTCCTGTCCACTTTTCATGGAACAGGGCAAGGGGTGAGAGTAGATGGTACTGCCCGTTCATGAAGGAAGATGATGGAACCTACACGGTGAGGGTTGTGCGATCTACTTTCACCCAACTGTATTTTGGAGGGGTCTTAAGTCGATGAGATCCTCCAATTTTTCCCCGTTTGGCACCCCAGCGCGACTTTTTTCTTCTTTGGCCCTTTCTCCTGTTCTTCCTTCTTTCCTTTTTTCCTTCTGGGTCGGGAGGGTGGGGTGGGGCGCGCGCACTCGGCGTAAAAACAAGAAATCTCCCCGAGGCGCGCAGATGCCCTCCTGGGTCACGCAGCTGCCGCAGTCGGGCATCAACTCCACGGCCATTGCGGAGTGGCTGGAGGCGGCGATTCGGGGCGCCCGGCAGCGAGTCGACGCCGCTGGATGACATCGGGTCAAAGCTAATGGTATCCCATTTTGGTTGGTAGGTGCACCACCCATTTCAGAACCTATTTTAGTGGGGATTGGGATGTTCACTGGGGGCACGGGATTTTGATCCATGGCCATATGTGCCATATGTCTCTGGTACTTTCTTTTTTTTAGAAAATAAAGGAACACCACCAACCAGTAAGGCTCCTGTTTTGAGAATCCTGATGGTGGGATTGGATATGCCCACTTTTGGAGCTTCCAAAAGTCAATTATCACGATGACATTTATGGCCCAGAGGTACATGAGGTAGGTTCTCATGTAGTCAGTTGCATGTTGTACATTCAAGTCAATGCCAGAGCATGATCCAATCACTGCTTTGGCTCAAGTGCTGAAAACAGCGCGTTGCTCGCGCTAACCCCAAGATTAAGGGAGAGGTCGCAGTCACGGAGGGGTTCGTTCCTTTTAAGGTCCCGGGCACCCCCGTTGTTGACAAAACTGTGTTTCCCTCTCCTTTGAGTGGTTATCAGCCGTAACGCTTTTCGGGTAAACAAACCCTTCCGTGACTGCGACCTGTTGGTCGCACATGGAAGCCGGCCCTCACCGCGGCACTCGCGGTGGGAAAGGGCCGCGTGCCCGCTTATTCAATACTCTGCAACAGATCGTCGTCGACGAGTACAAGCGGCAGAACAGACGATTCCGGTGGATCAGGTTTGCGGACGCCTCGAAGCAACAGGTCGAGGCGCTCTTTTCCTGGCGTGAGTCATTGGATAGTTGGCACCTGTGGAATTTTGACCAAGAGGCCTTCGACGTGATCCAGGCCGCGGACAACGCTTATCAGCAGCGTCTCGCATCGGTTGAAACCACAGGTGTGGTCTTGCCGCAAGGTATGCCATCTCAGGATCAAGCCGCAGCCTCAGGCGCGGCGGAAGCAACGAGCAGTGCAGCGGACTGGCTACGCCCTCCGACGCCTCCATCGGCTTCCTCCTGGCTGCAAGATTCGCGCACTCCTTTGCCTCGCATCCGGCCATCTGCAGAGGAAAGACAAGCCGCCAAGTCAACACTTCGCGGGGTGTACGCTAAAGCTGCGGAAACGCGGCGGGAGAGCAGCAGGGAACGGTCAACACAAAGATCGAGGTCCCCATCGCCCCGAAGGTCGAGGTCTCCATCATCGACTCCGAGACGAGGACCAACTGCTGCTACCCCTGTGGAACAACGGGCACATAGTGTTGAACCCGCGCTTGCGCGGGAGGGCAGGCCATCCAGGACTTCCCTTGCCACACGGCCCATCGTTTTGGCTCCACAGAATAGCATATACCCTGTGACTAGATTTGACGAGCACGGCACCTGGGTACTTGTTCGGGAGGCTTCACAGCCACGTGAGGCGGCATCTCATCGGCGAGCACAACGGACGTCTAGGCAACTCCGTCAGGCCGACCCGTATTTGCTCGCGGACGAGACGTGGAGAGATCCCCCAAGAAGATCATCCACGAGCTCGCGATCACGATCTCCTGATCGACGCCCGGCGCCGGCGGAGCACTTCCGCCTCGACGCCTACAGCTCGGAAGAGGAACCTCCGCAAGACGCGGAATCCATCAGAACGGGCAGGGCAGCCTACGTGCCTCGGCGCGTGTACGAGGCGCCGACTCACACTGAGCCCATCGCGTTGCACAGCCGGAGAATTGGAGCAGTTCAACCGCCGCCACCAAAGGCCGCACCAAAGGTCATTTTTGGCAGCAAGCCTCCATTGCCCAAGGAAATCCCCAGGGCAGCTTCTTCGGTACCGGCAAAAGCAGATATTCCGAGGAAATCACCGCCACGAGCATGATCTCCTATTCGGACTCAGAGTGCATTCGGGTACAAGGCGCCTCCGCGAGGTTTGAACAAGGCCGAACCCAGAAGCAAATCGAGCTCAAACCCGCCACAATTTGGGTACATCGTCAAGCCGCCACCTTCGCAGGTCGTTCAAGCAGCTGCTGCTAGCGCTGCAACTTCCGGGGCTGGCTCACGCTTTCGATCGCCACCAAGAAGGGCACCGCCTGCGCCACCGCCGCCACCACCTCCGCCTGGAAGGCCTGTGCCGCCCAAGGAGCTTGTTGTTGCTCTTGACTGGCACGGAGTCCTTGACGTTGGGCAGCAGGGACCCCACCTCAACCCGGAAGTGATCCGACATCTCGTTCAGTTTGCAGCGGACTACGCACCTATAAATTTTATAGTGCTATCCTTCGTGGGCAGGGCTGCAAGCGAGTATCGCCGCCGCGAGTTCCAGGTCGCCCTGGAGCACGCGCGGGCGACATCTGGACTCACTTTTTCTGCGATAAAAATCGTACACGAACGGTTGGGTAGGGGAGGCAAAGCAGACGCCCTTCAAGGGCTGGGCGTTCACGCCCTTATTGACGATACAGCATCGATTGTCCGTGAAGCTCAAAAGACAGGCATCGCGGCGTTCCGCAACTTCCCGCATTTCGGGCCGGGCGGATTTGCCAACGCACTTGAGAACCTTGGTGAGTTTATCGAGTCCCGGAACAGACAATTCATTCCGGCGGCAAGGGGCCTGCATCCATCGCAGTACCTCGAGGAGCTCCACCGATCTGCATCCCAGTTGCCCGCCAGCCGGGTACTTCGATAGCCTTTGTTGCAAGCCGTTAAAACCGTCGCTTTGCGCGGTACAGCATTTTGCAGTTACAGGCATTCGATTTGCAGACAAATTCTCAATACAGCTTGGCAACATCCCTCGATAAAGCACCATAGTGCGGCAGTGCGGATCAATCAATCTACAAGTACAATTACAAATACAGAATTCATCAGGTGCAAAGCAGCAGGGCGTATTTTCTTGAGTGGCTCACTTGAGCGTTTCGCAACCAGCTGCCAATCCAGGGATATCTCCTCGTAGCACCTTTTGACACGCTGCTCAAAGCGCGTGGAGCTAGCTTCGTGTGAGTGCAAAAGTTGCATTGCTGTGTCATGGCTTCAACGGGCTTATCACCGCCATCAGAACCCCGTTCAAGGTCAACCCCAAATAGGGATTCTGAACCGGATGACCCTGACCTAGCCATGGTTCCTGCAGTTATGTCCACAGTTCGCACATCCACACCTCAACGAGCAGCCCAAACACGACCATCATCACCCCCGAGTGGTCCGATCGTGTCAGAACCGACATCATCCGAAGCTTCCCCAGCCATTCAGTTTCCTTCACAGGGATCGCAATTACCTGACCCGATGACTAACGTACCCGCTGCGGCATTTATAGCTGGAGCTGCGGTGCAGCAAGCTCATCGAGCATCCGACCTCGCTGCACAGGCAGCCAATCACGCCTTGCACCAACAGCAGGCCGCCGATCAGGCGAGACAAGAGGCCGGATGGATCAGGGAAAGGGCTGTAAGAGAAGTTTCAGACGTTAGGGTTCAGGCCGCTCAGCTAGCTTCGTGTACAAACAGCACAACAAAGTGAGGCTCAGGCTAGGCAACTCATCGAGCAGACACGACAGGAAGCCCTTGGCCATGTCGAGAACGCACGACAGGTTGTTAATGCCACTCAACAGGACGCTCAGCAAGAGGTTCAACGCATTGTTCAAGAGGCTCAACAGGCAATCCTACAAAGGGAGCAAACCATTGCCAGTCAAGAGCATACCATTCGTGGATTGTCCCAGGAAAATTCTGTGATGCATCAACGACTTGGTGATCTCGAACGTGTTGTTGCGCAGCTCACCCAACAAGCTCGTGCGACCCCTGTTCCGATGCAAGAGTCCCCGCCAAAAGCCGCATCAATAGCCGAAACAGCTACGGAAACAAGCGCGGCTAAAGCCTCAAGTCAAGGCACAGTTCCCCCAGGAACCCATCAGCCGGTTGGAGCACCTCAGGTTTCAATTCACAAGATGCCTCCGGTGTTGCCGCATCGTCGCAAGGGAATGCTTTTACAAGTACTAACCCCGACCCTCCGTGTGGTTCTGTTCAAAGTTCAGGACTTGGTCACGATGCCCCAGCTGATTCAAGGGACCCTGGTGGGGGTGCAACAAGTCAACATCTCGCAGGCCATTCGGCAGTGCTAGGAGCAGCGTCCTCTGTTGGAGACGCAGCCCCCGGCGCGTCGAGGACTAGCGGGTTGGGTAGAGACGGTCCAAGGGATCAAGCCGATGTGAGAGTGCAAGTGACGGCTTTAGCGGAAATGGTTCAGCAGCTTTCCCAATTGGTTGCTAATCAAGTGGCTCCGCCACCTCCGCCTCCGGCCGCACCACCTCCAGCGCCTCCCATGCCCCTTGCAGGGGCGCCGCCTCCGCCAAAAGCTGGCAACGGCACTCATGTTCCGCCAGTACCAATCACAATGTTGGGAGGGTTGTACTCGTCATCCCCACAAGCGCCATCGGCAGCAAGCTCCGACACATCATCAGACTCTGATGGAGATGATGATACCCCACAATGTCGAGTTTGCGGCGGCAGCCATGAAGACACGGATTGCCCATACCTCACCATGAATGGTGGTGGGGGAGGTGGGGGAGGCCCCGGCCAGTTCCCCAATGCAGACCCGTCTCAAGCTGCCGATCCCAGTGTAGGCATGACCGCCGTAGATCACGCCGCACATGAGGAGTCCGTTGTTCGCGTCAAGGACCTCAAGGATCTCGTGTTACCATCCCCTCCGGAGAACGCTGGACAGGCTAGAGGTTTCGTCAACCAAGTTTTGATGGCCATCGGTCGACTCCAGAAGACCCCCGGAGATGAAGTTTACCAGTGGGCCCAAGCATGCATGTCCTCCACCGAGCAAGAACTCATCGCGGACAAGCGTTTCCCACGGTTAGATCGTGAAGTAGCCGCAAAGCTCCTTAAAACCTGCCGTAAAGGTAAGTTCGGGCTCTTGTTTCAAAATATGGTTGAACAAGAGAGGATCTCGTCAGGTGGGATGCCCGTAGGGAGAATCATGTTGCGTGCTATCTTCAAGCACTTTCAGTTGGAACGAGGTAGGCTCGGAACCTTAGGAGGTCGC